AAACTCAGCAAAAAAAACATATTATTTTTTAAAAAAATAGTAAAAATTAAATATTTAATATAGTTGTAGGCATTAAAAATTAAATGCCTAAATTAAATTAAATATAATGTATTTTGAAAGAAAATAAAATTTCAATAAAATAAATATATGGTATTTAATTATGCACATATGTTAATTTTTGTACCATAAATATTAACCATTAATGCAAAAATCTGATTAAAATAGAAGATATTGTACAAATATTACGTGCATAAATAGAGACATAATAAATTTGGCAGCAAAATGAATTAATCTTGTCAATAAAAGAAGTATATAAATTAATATCTTTCGAAAAATAGTAATGATATAAAGATTTTGACGACAAATGAAAGTGCACAATCAAATCCGTCAAAAATGAAAAACAGCAGCCGATGGAAAATGAAAGAAAATCTTTCCTATTGGTCAATCAGAACGCGCCACGTGGCACAATTCAAAAAGGAAGCCGAGGCCACCCCTCCCCTATAAATAGGAGTCATGGCCAATTCATTTGAGACACCGAAGTTGTATCGAGGATTCAAACAAAGGGGTAAGTCTTTAGACTCTCTCTATATTGTTCTTCATGTTCTTCGTGTCATTCGAAGCGTTTTTCGTCGAAAGTCACTGATTTAGACAAACGATCCAATATTGGTTGACGAATCGATGGAGTTAACGTTTTTCGTCGTATGCCTGAGCCGAAGGAAGGATCAAAGCTCTCAAACCAGTTGAGGAATTCGTCAAAGCATCAACTCGGCTCTCTTCGATGCAAAAGTCAAAGGGACACGCCGCCATAAATGTTATGGAGCACCAAATTCACCTCTTCAAAAATCAAAGCTCTAAAAGCCTTTGAAGAATCCATCAAAGCCAGGGAAGAGCATCCGAAGTTCATCCCAAAACTTCGAAGTGTTCATCACGTTCTTCACCAAAGCATCAACTCAGCCCTCTTCGATTCAAAAGTCAAAGGGACATGCCGCCAAAAGTGTTATGGAGCACCAAATTCACCTCCTCAAAGATCAAAGCCTCGGATCGTCCAAAGAAGATATCAAATCCAAAGTCGACGATGAAATCGCCCCCTACAGAGACCAAAGTTCTCCAAAAGTGGCAAAGCCAAACCAAAGATCAAAGTCGCGGATCGTTCAAAGAAGACATCAAATCTAAAGTCGATGATCAAATCGTCCCGCACGGAGACCAAAGTTCTCCAAAAGCGGCAAAGCCAAAGCAAAGATCAAAGCCTCGGATTGTCTAATGAAGACGTCAAATCCAAAACCAACGATCAAATCGTCCACACGGAGACCGAAGCTCTCCAAAAGGCAGAAAAGGCAAACCAAAGATCAAAGTTGCGGATCGTCCAAAGAGACATCAAATTCAAAGTCGACGATTAAATCGCCCACACGGAGACCGAAGCTCTCCTAAAGATGGAAAAGGCAAACCAAATATCAAAGCTGCGAATCGTTTACAGAAGACATCAAATCCAAAGTTGATGATCAAATCGCCCACACGGAGACCAAAACTCTTCAAAAGCGGCAAATTCAAACCAAATATCAAAGTCTCGGATCGTCCAAATAAGACATCAAATCCAAAGTCGACAATCAAATCGCGTGCACGGAGACCAAAGCTTTCCAAAGTCCGGCAAAGTAAAACTAAAAACAAATCTCTTCAGATTAAAGAAGCCATCGAAAACCAAGTTGGAAAAAAAATCGACTTGGAAGGAGAATCAAATGACCAATTTAGATAATAGGACCCGCTTTAACCAATTCAAATATAATTTGTACAAATTTTGTTTATTAAAAATAACATAATTTTTTATTTACAATAGTATTAAAAAATAAATTATTGATTATAGTACTTTTTTTGTCCCGCCTTAATATATAATTTTTTATTTTTGTTTATTTCGCATTAACTTATATACTCCCTCCGTCTCATTGAAAGGTTGTCATTTTTCATTTCCATTCGTTTCAAAACAAGGTTATCATTTTCTAATTTAGTAATTGTACTACCTACCTAATATAATAAATACCCTTACAACTTACACTATATTACACAAATGTCATTACTTTTATATTACATAATACTAATAGGGGTATTTTCGTCTTTTTCACTATAACCTATTATAATATTAATATTAAAAAATTTACGTGTAAAAAGTAAACGACAACCTTGCATCGGGACAAAGAGAGTATTTATATTTTATTATTGCATCATTACTTTTTTATCAAACAACATGACAAAATTGTTTTTAACGCTACTTTATACCTAAAAAATTTCATATATAAAGACAGCCCAAATTCTTGATTGAATTAATTAAAAAAATCTTGTTTATAATTTGGCTCGATGCAACAAAATCAAACTTAAATTTATTTTTGGACTTTAGAATAAGCTCAATTTAAGTCTATTAGCTTCATTTGGGATTAGAGATAGATATACATATATATATATATACTATGTAATTTTATAGTAACAATTGATTTTGTTGTACATTACAAATATTTTAAAATAAAATAATGTTTACATACAAATAATATTATCAATTAATATTTTCTAAATTCCATATAAAATATATTTCATCATCTCATTATATTTAACATTAAAAATATTATTATATTTATTTAATTTTTTGTACAACTATCATTAAAATAGTACTGTAAAACACTAATAGAAGTTTTTTTTTTCATTTTTTCTTAATTTGTACTATGTTTGTAACAATTAATATTTAAATATTAATACAAAAAAGATAAATTACCTTTAGAGCCGGAACGAGATGGTATATAATTACTTTTCAGCGGATCCAATTAATTTACATAAAATTTACTATTCATCATTTTCAATGTTCTTTATGGATAATACATTCCTATTGACTTTCTTTTTTTTTTTTTTAATATAAAACATTTAATTGAGTATAATAAAAAAAAATAACTTTTTCAAATTAGATTTCATACAAAAATTTGTTAGGACAAAGTTTGGCCAAACTTAAACTTAGGCCCAATTATTATATACCAACTCAAGTGTCATATGGGCTGCTTACATATGGGCTTTTTCAAAAAAAATAAAATAAAATTTTATTTAATATTTATTATAATTAAATGAAAAAAATATATATACTATATATATATAATTTGTAGAGAATAAAATTTTCTATAATACAAAATAAATAAAAATTTAAATATATATATATTAGGTATAATATAAATTCATAATAAAATCATACAATATAAATTTTATCAATTAAATTTAATACACATTTATATTATTTTATTCATTATCCATCAAACCAATACACATCAAAATTCTTCAAACCCGAACCAAACCCAAATACAAAAGAAACAACAAAATTCAAACTCATCCCAAAATTCAAATAAAAATCAAACCCAAACCCAACTTTCCCCAAACTTCCCTAAAGAAACGTACCATTATTTCTCATATAAAATATTTAATAAATTGAATTTTGTTTGAATTAAAGTTGAATGAATATAATAATATATATGAAATTCATAGGTAACAAAATAGTTGTATACCTTAACAATTTATTTATTTTTTATTTTGGTTCGTTCCATAATAAAGTATCTATTTTTATTTTTAGTAATTGTACTATCTATTTAACATTACAAATATCATACATTTATATCATACAACTAATAAGGTTAATTTAGTCTTTTTTTCTTTTATTTCTATTTTATCCCAATATAATACTAATATTTCGAAAACTCTGTGCAAAAAACAAATGGATATATAGATATAGGACGGAGGTAATACTATTTTTTTACTAGGGTGTGTTTGTTTGGTGGATTGGATTTTAATCCCACTATTCATCCAATTTTTTCCCCTAAAAAATATCAAATCAAACACCTATTTTTTATTTTTTATATTATACTAAAAATCAATTTTTCATTCAAAACATCACATCAACACCTATTTATATCATATCATACAATTATTCAAATTCAAACTTTTTACTATTCAAATCTCAACTCAAAATCCAAACCCCCAAACAAACACACCCTAAATATAGTATAAACTTATTTTTTATAAATATATTAAAATAATAAAATAAACAAACACATTGTGAGAGTATATTTTCATAATAGTTTGTACTCCCTTCGTCTCAATATAATAGTCTTGTTTACCATTTTTGTCCGTTCGAAAACAATAGTCTCATTTTCATAAATAATCATATCATCATAAAATTATATCTATTTTTTCATTATTATTACACAATTGCCACTATTTTTTACACTAATATACTTACAATAGCAAAAAAGTCATTTATCTTTACTTTTTACCGACTATCAATATAATATAAATATTTCTTAAATCTCGTGTCCAACATAAAAGACTATACTTTCGGGACCGAGGGAGTAATACTTTTTATGCAAAGATTATTTTGTTTATTTATGTATAAAAATTAATTTAATTACATTGATATGCATAAATATTGATCCAAAAAGATTAATAATATATTAAAATTTATAAAGAAAATTTAATACACGATAAAAACGACAAAATACAATTAAAAAAAAAAAAAAAACACGCACGTTTTTATTTTAAAAAAAATATATTTAAAATATAAAAACTTCAAATAATTTCCCAAAACACGAAACGCTGACACTTTTTTACCCAGGCATATGGAGAAAGAAAATATAAAATAAAATAAAATAAAATAAACTAGCGGTGAGGAAAGATTCAAATTTTAGCACGTGTGCAATTCGCGTCGACGTGGAAGATCTCCCACCGTCCGATACGTATCCAACGGCAGATAATTTATTGCTCACCAATCATTGACCTCCACGAGTAGAATATGTTTTATGTTAATAAATTCAATTAAAATAATATGCCTTGCTTTTACTATTGAAAGCGACTGATTTTATAAATAATTCAAGGGCATATTGGACATTTCACTTTTCCTTTTTAAAAATAAATTATGGATTTATTAATTAAGAAAATAAGGCACGGCACATTTATTTAATTAAAGCCTGTAAGCATAACGATATTGAGAATAGATTCCGTTGCTGTGAATGGACGGCCAGGATTTCTCTCAGAAAAGCATCGGACGGTTAGATTAGTGTTCAGACTCCATTGTAAAATGCTCCCACTCAAAAAAAATCAAAAAAAAAATTGTCAAAGCTTCAACCGATTCCTCTCATCTCCATTCCGACGGAACGAATCGACGCTGCTTCGACTCCAAATCTGCGGAATCAATATGGAAAGCTTCGTTGATGAGTATGCGAATTCCTGGGAAATCGACTGGTGAGTGGTTGTAAATTTGTAATTGCTTCGTTTTTTGGTGTTGCAGTGTGGTATTTTGGATTTTCGATGAATTTTGTTGTTTGATTTTTGTGTTTGAAGTTACTTGGAAGAAGCTATGTCTGCGTGTTACGAGGAGAGATCACCGGACGAAATGCCACAGTCTCTGGCGTCGTCGAAGAACATAGCGTCGGAGAGGAATAGGAGGAAGAAGCTGAATCAGAGACTGTATGCGCTCAGATCAGTGGTACCGAACATTACTAAGGTAATTTTAGCTACGCCTTTGTTGTTCGGAACAATTTGAGTGTTAATTGTTGCTGTGTTGGATCTTCAATTTGCGAGTTTGTTGATCTGTTAGCTTAATTCGACTTTGCCTCGTGGTAGTTTCGATAGTTTTGTTGATTGAAATTGAATGCCAGATGGATAAGGCCTCCATTATCAAAGATGCAATTGAGTACATAAAATCACTCCAGGAAGAAGAGAGGAGAATTCTGGCTGAAATAACAGAGTTGGAATCGGGGATGTCATCAACATCGAATAGTACAGTTCTCGATTTCGACTATGCAGAAGCTGCAACGTATTGTTCTAAGCCAAAGAGAGCTAGAATGGAGCATTGCCATGATTCTGCAGGCTCAAGATTGGTTTCCTCTTCTCCTATTGAAGTTCTTGAGGTTTGGTTAATTCATGGTGATTTCATTGATGTTATAATCACTGACTAACTAGAAAATAGCACTGTTAATCGATTCGATTGCATTGGCAGCTAAGGGTTTCCGACATGGGAGAGAACACCATAGTTGTGAGCTTGGAATGCAGGAGGACAAGAAGAGATACAATGGTAAAGCTCTGCGAAGCCTTTGAATCTCTGAAGCTTAAAATCATTACCAGCAGCATTAGTGTTTTCTCTGGGAGGCTTTTGAAGACTATCTTTCTTGAGGTAATAAACCAATCTTCAATACTTGCTTACTATTGCCTTACTTTATGAAATTGCACATAAATAATAGTAAAATATAAAATTGAAGAAAAGAATATATATATATATATATATGAGACTCCTTTTGTTAAGGTAAATAATTAGCTGAGAAATGCAATATAAAAAATATATATATAATTTTTATGGAGTTCATATTACATTAAAAAATATATAAGTTGAATGTTAAAAATGAATAAAAATATTTGTTAAAACTAGTCATATTTTCAACCTAAAATTAATTGGTATTTAATAGTGCGGTCATTACCCTTTATAAAATAAAAAGCCTCGACGTTAGTTATAATGTAAGACAATATTCAACAATATTATTAAATAAACATTCCCACTAAATGTACATTATTATATATTTCTCTACTTATGAAAGAAATTTTTATTTTTATTTTTATTTTTATTTTTTCTGACTAAAAAAAAGAAAAGAAATGTTTTGTGTTTGTTTTGCGAGACATTGGGAAGATTTTTTTTTTTTATATATACAAGGTATAAAGAATTGTATGGGAAATAATATAATAATAAGTATTAATTTATTTTTTAAAATAAATAGTCCGGTGGTGGTGTAGGATAAATTCGCGCGAATTCATAGCTTCAAACTCTAAGGCTTCTAAATTTTGTTTGTGATATATTATTCCCATCAAAGATTTTACTACACATGCAAGATTCATTCCAAGCTTTTGAATTTTGATCATTTCTTGTCTCCTATAGTTGAAAAGCTATCACTGTTATTCATCACCAACTTCTCACTACCTATCAATGATTGAGAATATTTTAATAAAGGTGGGTATTAATTCAAAAGAAACATATATTCAAGCACCCAAATGAAATCAATTTCATTTCACAAGTAAAAATCTTTGCAAGATATGGGCATACACCATTTTTTTAAATTTTCTTTTTTAAACTTTTTTTGTCTCTTTCTTTTTTGTTTTTAGCTAATTGGCATTATCTTCTATATTTATTTGTATTTTTTGATAAATATTTTTTTTTATGTTAAATATTTAGAAATTAGGTTGATAATATATAAAATATATATATATATTGCATTATAGGTGTGTGTATTATATATTTTTAAATAATATTTATGAAAATTTGCTGCGCTCATAAACACATTCGCTCTGTTTACATAACACACTTTCAATCATTTAACACTATTCATTTTTTAAAAAAATATCACATCAAATAAACTTTTTCTCTCACAAAACATAAAATCAAATATTAACGTTTTACTTTTTTTAAAACTTTCAAATTTAAGAAAACCTTCAAACACCCCTTATCTAAACAAACCTTTTGTTTGTGGGTTTGGATTTGGATTTTTAAATAGATAGAAGTTTAATTTAAATATTTGTCTGATGTAATACAAATGTTGTAAAATAGATTTATAATATTATCTAAAAATAATAATAATTGTTTGATTTGATATTTAAAAAAAAAAAAAATTGAATAGTAAAACATATGTGGTAAAATTCCAGAGAAGAACGCAAACAAACCTTATGTTTTCCCTTTCCTTTATTATTATTTTGACAGGGTTATGAAGAGGAAAGGAATGATTTAAGATTAAGGATAGAAGCTGCCATAGCTGCTGTGAGTGATCTTAATAGCCCTGTGAGCTCCTCTTCCTAATTAACCTTGTTATTGTTACAATTTTTATTTTTTTTTTGTAATGGTTTTTTTTTTTTTTTTTTTTTTTTTTTTTTTTTTTTTATGGCTTTGTGTGCTTTTTGTTTGTATACAAAAATAGTAGCTTTAATTAGAAAAAAATTCCCCTAATAAACGCATATGGTTTCTTTGAATTTTTTATGATTTCTTGCTTCTATTTGGCAGTACGTTGCTTTCATCCATGTTTTATGTCACTAGGATTTAGGTCCAATTATAAATGTAACCTATGATCTGTCCATTACTCAATAATGTTATTATTGTTATTATTATTTGTTACGTACGAAATTTAGAATTAGGTTAAAAGCCCAAGGTAAAAAGAAGATTGGGCCTGGCAATAGAGTTGATTGAATTGGCTGAAGGACACCGTGAGGAAATCAAGGAAAATAGGTTTATTTCTAAGGACGGAAAGACCTCAGGTCGGAAGGTCTTCAGGTCGGTAGGTCCTCAAGACGGAAAGTCCTCAGGACGGAAGGACCTCAGGTCGGTAGGTCCTCAGGACGGAAAGACCTCAGGTCGGAAGGTCTTCAGGTCGGGAGGTCCTCAAGACGGTAGGTCCTCAAGACGGAAAGACCTCAGTTCGGAAGGTCTTCAGGTCGGGAGGTCCTCAAGATAGGAGGCCCTCAGAACGGGAAGTCCGCAGGTCGGGAGGCCTTCAAGACGGAAAGTCATCAGGACGGGAAGTCCGCAGGTCGGGAGGCCCTCAAGACGGAAAGTCATCAGGACGGGAAGTCCGTAGGTCGGGAGGTCATCAGGACGGGAAGTCCGCAGGTCGGGAAGTTCTCAGGTCGGGACTTTGCGGCAGGGCCAACAAATCGGATGGTTTGTTAGTCGGGATGTCGGTAGCTAATCCAAATAAGTTAGATGGTTTGCAAGTCGGGGGGATTGGCAGTCGGACCAATGCGGTTGTAAATTGGCAGTCGGGCCAAAAGGGCGGAAGGTCTGTGGTCGGCTCAAAGAGTGAAATATAGGGATAATTTTGGTCTGCCGAGGACACGTGTCAGCAGGAGAAGGGTTGGAAGACGGTTGGGAAGGAGACGTTGTAACCGTTCGGGCGACGGTTTTCAGTACAGTTTCCCAGAGAATATTTAAGGATTTGGATCATCATTTGGCAAGGCATCTTCAATCAACTTCAACAAAGCAAAGTCAGATTTGGGGATCACCACTTTAAATTTCAGTCTTTTATTTTCCAGTTTATTTTCTGTACCATACAGTGTTTAGAGATTCCTAATCTCAGGCACTAATTAATCAAGTTTAAGGATATTTTCTATATCTTTGAATTTTACTTTATTTTACATCAACATTATTATTATTATTATTTTATTTTTATGACGTGAGAATCCGCACCTACTAGGTATTATGTTTGCCCTATTATTAATCAATTTTTTTTAATCACCCTGCAGTTTTGTTTAGGATCAGGACAAGGAGAGAATCATGAAGATGGATTCATGGGAACATGTCTTCCCAAAAGAATCCAGCTTTGTTTGACAGGTTAAAGAAGAACTTGTAACATAGTCCCTCTTTTTCTTGTGGCTCATGTAATTAGTGCATCTGTTTCTAAATACTATTCTGCTTTCTTCATATCCACACCTCATTTGACACTTCACAAACAAATCAAAAGGTAAAAACACAAACAAAATAAACAAGAAAAAAGTTTTTACACCAACCAAAAGGGGCCCTCCAATATTAAGGATTCTTTAGCAAAAGGGATGGAAGAAAGAAAGATACATAATATGTTATTGTATTATTAGGTTTGTCATAATGACAAGGGACTTAGTGAAATGTGAATTCCTAGCATAGACATAGAGGATTTGTTTGAGGTGAGGAAGGATGTGGAAATCACTAGGCACTAAAGGTTCTTGAAGCCCTTTTCATAAACAAGATTATCTATGCATGGAAATTAATGATTAATGGACACACAAATTCATATATATATATATATATAGTTAAAAAGGTAAGAAGGGTCTCATGATCCACTATATGTGTCTCTTTTGACTGCAATTAGTTTGCTCTTAATCATGAACCAGAAAAGACCAATCATTCAGATTGAAATGCTCATGTTTAAATTGAATTCCCCTATTTATTTATTTATTTATATTGAGATATCATGAAATTATAATGCCCCTCCCCACTAGATGACAGTGCCATGCACTTTAATTTAATTCAATTCCAGCTGAAAGAAACCCCAACTTTTGAATTTTGTATTCACTGCTTGCTTTTGACTACTCATCATCATCATCATCATCATCAACAACAACAAATTAAACACTTGATATCATTACACTCAGCGGCGGATATGCAGCCTGTCTGTCTCCCCATGCATTATATTTATATGTGTTTGAGTACATAGAGAATTAATACACAGAAGGAAGAGTTTCCATGAGTGGCATCAAAATTAGGTTAAAAACGTGTGTGAATGATGGGGAAATGATTGTTAGCAGTTTGAGGACATGAATTTAAATGGAACCAACCATCAGAACCTTCATTCTTCATTTTTCATTTTAATTTATATATTATTTTTCTGAATTCTAACTACTATATATAACTGTTGGCCATGTTTTATGTATTGATCATTATAGGAAATGGGCTTGATTAGGACTGATTAAGGCCTTTTATATTTGATATTTGGGTTAGGCCTTTTTCTTTTTAAGGCAACAGGGCTATAGGAAATGGGCTTTTCTTTATTTGAAGTTAATATTGACTACAGTGATCAGGCGGCCCAAATTTTCAATGGGCTTTTCTAATATTAGATTTTTGAATTATATAAATGATTTTTTTTTAGAAAAAAAAATAAAAGAAAGAGAAAAAAATACATTTCTTCGTTATAAAAATATATTACTAATGTTTGTGTGAAAGGTATATAGGCCTTTGAATAAAGATTAAAAAAATAATAATAAACGAACATCATAATTCGAGCATTTATATACACTAAGTAATTTCAAAAAAAAAAAAACTACACATAATATATTATTTATATTAATATAATACAAATAATATATATAATTAACACAATAAATATATATATATATATACACGAATGCATGTACGTATGTGTCGCGCACGTTAGCATTGGATCTTCTGTAGGGAATCTTATGCGATCCCTCATAATTTCCTTGCTCTACACATTTCCACATTTCTGTTTATTATATATATGACACCGTCGGTCTGTATATAATATGTATATATATATATATATGTGCCCTAAAACCCTAACCCGACACCGTCGTCCATCAGATTAAACGCGGTGTTAGCTACATAATTAATTAATAATGTCGCGGTGGTGCGGGGAGGAGGAGACGGAGGTTGGGAGGAAGCCGGCGAGCGGAGCGTGCCCCTACTGCGGCGGCAAGGTGGAGGCGGTGGACGTCCGGCGGCAGCGATGGTGCTGCTCTCTCCTACTCTGCTTCAGATTCAACCGCAACTACGTCTGCACATTGTGTTCCAGAACTCTCCTTTTGTACAATTCTTATTCTTAATTAATAAATTCATTATTCATTGATAATAATGGATGAATCGTCGACCTTCATCTCCATTTTCCATCTGAAATTAATTTCAACAACTTCATTTTTGAGAAGATGAGTTTGGGGACTAGGAGGTCCCGGACCCCAACTCCCCCGTCCATGTGTATGTGTCGGTTCTGTTTGCACATCCACCGGTTCAGAGAAGGCAAATTCGATTTTTTGTAGTGGTTATAAAAATCATGTGTTATAATTTTATTTTATTTTGTATTTTCTTGGTAACGCTATATCAATGAGATATGTTCAACGACCGTGTGGTCAAAATTGACGACTAATTTGGGACGATGATGACGACAGCTGTTACGTTGCATGTAGAAATTCATGCACCGCTTGGACGGAAATATATATATATCCCTAAATCCTAATAATACCTAATCTAATTCTGCATCTCACATTCTTTCCTCGTTTCAGTTAGAATTTAATTTGCACACAAATGAATGAATATACATACATACATATATATATATATATACACATATATTTATGTGCCAATATTGAATAATTAAAGCTTTATATAAATATTATAAATTTCCCAAAACGGATAAAACGTCGACATTCACGATAATATCGTAGCTACATGGCAAACCCTTCAATTTAATATCTACCAGAAATAGGTATTATTTTATTATCTATTTTGGGTCCAAATTCAAGGATGTGGTACACTATTGGAGATCACAAGTTTCCACGGGTTTGAGCACATTAACGTTGGATTCAAAGAACCAAACTATACAAGAAATTCAAATTTTAATTGTATAGCAACAAGGATGAAAATTAGTTTAAATTTTGTTGAGAAAATTATTAACAATCTGCATAATTATTAAATTTATCTAAATTAATGACTATAACAAATTTCGACTAGTAGATGCCCACAAAAACGGATGATTTTAGGATGGGATTATTAAAACTCAACATTAAGAAGCTAGTACAATTAAACCCCTATTAGCTACACTTACTGCTACCAATTCAATTGACTTTTCCTGATGATTCAATATATATATATATAAATCAAGCATGAATTCAACTCTTGATGTCAAATTGTCAACTGCAACCAAGCCCAGATATTTAGGTACATATATACACACACATATATATATATGCACAGAAGCACACCTCCATTGAATCTTGAAGAAAGCATTTTAAACGCATTGTATGTAGATCAGTAAATATATACCTATAAGAGGCGTTTATAAAGAAGACTAGCAAAGAAAGGAGAAGCAGAAGGTCGAAGATATCGATGTGCAGATTGCATATATACCAAGAAAAGGAGACAGAATTAGAACGAGAAAAAGCACCCAGCAAGTGTCCGAGCTGCGGAGGTCAAGTTCAGGCAGTCTATGTCGAAGCTCAGGTCAGATTATTAGGCTGTTTCACGGCATGTTCAATTACAAAGAAGAAGTTTTTCTGCACCCTTTGCTCTAAACGTCTCATTCTATGTTCTCAGATACACACCCTTTGATACAATATTAAATTCGCATTTGAATGATTCATTAAATTTCTGTAACCTAAATTCAAATGTTTATATACCTGTATTTTGGAAATCAAAATGCTAATACTCTAATTGGCAGAGTTTGTATAAATCCAATGGATGATAATATTAATAGAAGAGTCGAAATTTTTTAGTACCTCATGAAACAATTAGTTCATTCTTCTAATGAGCTCGTTGATGTAATCCTCGCGGTTGCCAGCATCGCCGCCTTCAACATAGTGATTCCTCTTCTTCTTCAATCCGCCCAATGGAGCTTTGAGCTGGAATGGCCACAAGAAGTTGTTGGCTTCTTTGAAATGAGGACCAACGGTGAAGATCTCGTGAATGAGGTCTTCTATGCAAATTATCTCATTCTTGCCCAAAGACTATAAAAAAATGAAGGGATGAGAATTGGGATGCGCAAAACAAATTATTCCTATTATTGTATAGGATGGGTTAGTAAAATCAAACCTGCTCAATTATGGAGTTGTCGGTCAATGCAATCCTCTGCTTGTTTACTTTTCCGTAGCCCCTTTTGTATATCAACTCCTTGACACTTTTAAGGTTGGGGTACCTAGAAGTTATGAAGCACCAGTATCAGAGTTTTTGTTAAAAGTGATATTTATAAAAATAGTTGAGGTAATTTATTAATATAGCTTACCCATAGGTAACATAAGGCTCAACCCTGTGCAGCATATTCATGGTAGCTTTGTTCACTTTCAGAAAGACGCCGTTAAAGATCTACATGAATGCCCAATGAAAACAGTCAAAAGGAGTGAAAACAGAAGATGTGTACTTAGAATAAAATAAAAATAAAGATACGAAAACAAATTTTAGAATGTAAATTATGAAGGCGTATCACAGTGAGCAGCTTCAAGAAGGAGAAGCCCACGTTCAGTTTTAAACTCTTCAACCCAAAAAAAAAAGGGGTGCAAAAAACATCTTTTCGAGTATGATTCAACTTATACAACGGACCTTTCTAGCTAAATGGTTAATAAATTCAAAGTACACAAGTGGTGAATCCATACGCTCGTAACAACTAGATTTAGAACAGATGTATGAAAGAAGCATAACTCTTAAAATGAAACACTGATAAGTACCTGACGCAGCCTCAGAAGCTGCAGAATCTTCTTGGTTGTTGGGTGCATAGCATTAATACTGGAAGAAAATGAATGCGGCACATTAATGAAATTCTAAATAAAAGATGAAGATATCATCAGAAGCATAGAATGGGCCTACCCCCGGATCCTAATAATGAACAAAAGCTTAGCTTCAGGGTTCACATAAAAGCCACCCTTCAATCTGGCTTCCCGCTTCAATTGAATCAACTCCCTCTCCTATACAACAACAAACAATGAAATTGTAAAAAATAGACTCAAGTAGTAATCAGATCCTAATTTAAATTGAAACAAAAACAATTCTGTATACCTGTTCAGCATACTCCTTTGCATAATGTTTTGCTCTTTGACAGATCAACTTCCTGGTGTCAGCCTTCTTTTTCTTGGCTTCCTCGAGTTCTTTGGCCTTTGCAAGGGCCCACTCCTCTGACCTCTTCTGCTTCTTCAAAACTGACTCTGGAACTATGGCTTTTACTTCAG